CACCAAAGAAAGTAATCTCACTGGACATTCTTCTAAACTATAGATTTGTCGTTACAAATGAATGAGGAACTGTGGCTTTTCTAATACGTTTGTTTCCTCTTTTAGATCTGTTGTGAATTTGGATACACAATTTTTTTTAACTACTGGTCATCGCGAACGCATCAAATCCACGCGAATAACTAATAAAGTTAGAATATCTATATTTGCACTCTGCAAGGAATAAACGTACATCGTTTGATAGAGCAAAGCAGTACGTACAATGCACTACTCGTAAACATATATACACAAAACACACAACAACGATCTGTAACCAGAAAAGTGTGCGCAGTGACCATTATTTGTACAAGGAATACATATTGGTTAGGTTTGACTTCCAAACTACTCAGATATTCCACACTGTTGCAAACTGTAATCATATAACTCTTTACAGGCATTGTCGTCCAGAGCGTGTCTGTTTTCCCTAGCCACCTGGCAATCGCTGCAAAGATGATTATGCCATTTGATAACGAAAAATCTGTGAAATAACTTACGAATAATAATTTCCGCTCACTCCTTCTACTTCCTTGCTCAAAGCCAAGTATAGAGGGGTTCGCGCAGCACTCCAAGGGGTTTTGAAGAAGAACCACCTGAAAAAAGATCGAAACCGTGATAAGTGCGAGATATAGCCTCACCTAAATGGATAAGAAATCTGTTTCACAAGTGGAGCAAATAAGAGTGTATGGCGATATGCATTGCTATTCACAACTCCTGGATGAAGAGAGTTCACAGTGATGTGGCCAAGTCCTTTCTGCTGTAATCGTCTGCTCAGCTCACGTACACACATGACCTGGAATAGGTGTGTGCAGTAACATGGTGAGGCAGATTCTCAATCACCACAAAGCCTTATAAAAAACAAACAAATTGTAAGTTAACTATGGTAACAGTAGCCTGTCTCGGGAATTTTCCGCTGCAGTGTGAATTTGGGTTATTAGATAAACCAGAACAAGCTCTACAAGGCGGCTATTGAAAGTTCCCACAGACTTCAATCTGCTTGGACATTAACTAAATTAACATATTTAAAATTTGAAAAAACCGATTTATTGACTACAGTTCGTCTGCGGATCT